AGTGCCACGCCTTGTTACAGCGTGAGCACTGCGGAACTTCTGCAATTTGGGCTCCCGGTCGCTGCTGCTGCTGCCTGAGTGAGCGGGTGTTGGTCGGTTCCTGCGCCACGACAGGGGCGTCTTCTACGTACACTGGTGCCTCGATAGGGGCTACATCCAGGACTGGCGGCGACTGGGTGAACGAGGCTGGCGTCTCTTCAGGATCTCGGCCGGTTCTGGCATCGACTCTACCGTTGGGGCTGGTGCGACGAACGTTGCTTCCTCCTTTCTGGCTGAGGTCGACCTGGTGTCTCAGCGCTGGGTCGGAATCTTCTTGCCCCGGGCCATGATTAGTGTGGCTGTGGCTGGCAAAGTCGGTACTTCTCAGGCGGCTATCGAAAGCTTGATCCCTGCAGAGTCGGCAAGGCTTGTTGAGTGCTCTGAAAAGAATACCAAGCGTGCTTTCTCCGCAGTTCACGAGACAATCGTTTGTATATGGTGCTACAACTGGCTGCTGAAACTCACCCGCAACGCCGAATGTACGATAACCAGTCAAGACTGACTCAGCTGAATGTCAAGCGAATCGTTGTCGAGTATCTGGTTATCGAGAATCGGGCCACGAATGGAGAGTCAGCGATCGAGCTTAAGACGAGAGGTGCGTACGACTGGGCAGTCTGCGCTGCGATGAATGCTGATGAATGATTACCTGGGTTTTGTACTGAAAACTCAACCATTTTATAGGTGCATGTTGTCTAGAATATTGTCTTTCCAGTAAGCACATGGTGAGCTATTAAAATGCAACCACTTGGCTGCATTTATAGACATGATTTCCACAGTCCAAGCACATGGTTTGGGTTGATAATTGAAACAATATAATTAAATTTCATTATAGCAAATGTCATTGTTCACATCTTATTTTATACACATGCGCATTTGAGTATGCGTGCTGAATTTTAGTAATACAATGAAATGGTATTTTGGCTACGGGACACCAGTAGCACACATAAATCTTCTTGTAGGGAGTCGGCAGTCCGAAACCCAAGTTCAAGGTGTCTCCTTCGTGCCAAAGAGCTGCATGACTGTTGGATGAACAGTCGTTAACGAAGGCAGTCAGGTCGTTGTTGGGGCGAGGCTTGCTGGTGGATGTAATGTTCTAAATCCCTTCCCCAGCTAATAGTAGGGTACTGCTGGGGTGACAGTTTAATAACCCTCACCTAATGCTTCAGGTCCAAATAGACACTAGGCACTGCCACTGTTTTGAGCCGAGGCATACATTTTTGCTTCTGCCAGACTGTGGCCGTTGCTTTTTTGCTCCATTTGTAGACTGGAAGTATATAGTTTCGTTGCCCAGCTTCTGAGTTGAGTGCATTGCGTGACACCGTGAGCTACGGATTTCATTTGTAATGTTTTTCGACTGACCAACGTGGTGGTGTGATTTGTAGATTCAGAAAATGGCGTGAATACTGTTGTCGCAATATTGGTGGGGCCATTATTTGATTAAAATTGATCGCGTGTGCAACAGCTGATTTTGTTAGTGACTTCTGCTACCATCAATGATGAACTGCATTTCCAATGTCGGACTGTTTGTGTTAGCACTTCGGTTGGCTACCATATGCTTTTAATGCGAGTGTATGCTAGATTTGCTGAGACAGCAGTTTGTCAGTCTTTCCACAAGGGACTATGATAAACATTCTGTGTTTTTCAATGGCCCAGGAGCGGAGCAAAAATGGGGTGACCCGTTTGCTATGAAGCTGAAACTAAAATTACCAGATTACCAGAATACATTTGAAAACAAACACTGAAAAACATGTGATACAAACATACAAGAAATAGGAATGGTTCAGCAGTTCCCTAACTGAGGTAACTGAATACTCACAAAGAACTATTTCAAGCAGAATGTTAAATAGGATACATCAGGAAGGAATAGTAGGCTGAGCTAGCTCCTAACCTATGAATAAAAGATTAAAAATAATATACATTCATACCTGGAAACGTTCCAGCAATTGCCAAACAAGACTCGACCAGTGAGAAATACTTTCTAATGTAGGTTTGTGGCTAGCTGGCGGCACTATGAGGTAAAGTTAAGAAGCTAGTAGTATTAATACATCTATCTGTCTGCAAGGTTAAACTCCTCCCCTTACTAGGTTCTACTATACCCTCCAGGAGATGATCTAAGCCACGCCCCTGAGGTTCCTTGCCGATCAAAATAGCTATCAATGGGCCTGTCAATCAAAGTGAACGGCCTTTCCAAGATCACACATTCTTAATTGGTAAACATCTGTTCTCCAGCAAATTTAACTGGCAGGTGTGAAACGCCCGCCAGGGGACGCCGTCATGTCTGGAGTTGTCTACCAGACCACGTTAATTACCCTGATCTTATCCGTTGAAAGGGCACAGCCTGGCTGTTTATGTAACCACTATCACACCAGCGACTGGTCTGCAGTTCAAGAAAGATAATCTCAAGGGGATAATTAGTTTATGACTGAGTTGCTTTCCCCTAAGTGTCTCTGGTCCGGAGATAATTATATGACACTGGCTTGTAAAATGAATTGCTAGATAAGGTACTGTTAGGTAATATTACACAAAGCTAGGTTGCTTTGACTGGGCTAAGGACTGGTAACAATTAAATCCATGTGGGTTTAATTATATTTGGGTTAAGGGCATAGTAAATATAATTCTCTGTCTCTCTATAACCAGAAGAAATTATTACAAGTACTATATTCTGAAACTACTGAGGTCGTATCCTCACAGGGGCCTTGAGGCCATAGAAATATTACATGTATAATAAACAATCGGCAACTATAGATTTGGGAGCTGCGTGGTCTCGAGGCATAGCGTCCGCCTCGAGTGCTAGAGGTCCCGGGTTCAAGCCCGGTGAAGGCTGCGATTTCCCCTGGCCTCTGGATCGTACGGACGCTCGTATTTATTGTTTCGCATGTGAAAAATCCCTCGGCAGTTGAGCATTGAAAAAGAGTAGCCTAACGCCACTGCCCGGCAAAATTTTTAGTTGAAAATCTACCAAAAGAATTTCAGGAGTTCGTGCACTGCGCTGAGAATGCAAGAGTTTCTTCCTCTGTGCGTGATGTTGATCAGTCGTCTAAACTGTGTTAAGAAAGAAGTAGAAAGATAGTGGACACTCTATAACAATAGAAGGTTATATTTACCGTTCCCGGAATCGAACATGACACATCCAAAATGGCGTGTGCGCCTCGCTATGGAAAGAAGTTTACTAAAAACAAGACCAACTAGGCATCCCTAAGAAAAGTCTTTCTCATTGGCCATATTTATCGTAGTTGAAATCCACAGCTATGGAATACGGACAGAACGAATCTGAAACCATTGAAAAAGCACCAAGGCTACCAATGGTTGGTGTCTTACTATTGTCTTTATCATTCTTGATATCTTGATAGGGCTTAACACTGTCACACCTCGAAGAACAATACATAGATCATGATATCCACTCATCACACACACATGTACAGCAAGAGCAGCAGGGTCTAAGGTTCAAGTACCGAAACATCATCTTCAGAAAACAGCGAAGAATAAGTCAGGGGCGCAGACATACACTGTGCGGGTTCCAGCACTGCTTTGTGGGAGAACATAGGAATGGATTCGTTAGTTTTACGGTAATTCCCCCCCCCCCTTCCCCCCCCAAAAAAAAAATAGGTCACTATTCATTCACAAGTTTAATGATATTGACTGGTCGACTTTCGTGAATGTTACGGGAGAGTGCCGCTATGTTGTTTGCTCTCTGTGGTGTCTTGCATTTACGCTTTCATTCCGAGAAAGAGAATGCCTGTGGCATCGGTCGCAGCACTCTATAGAGCGGTTGTGCTAAATCCAGTTTCTCCATGTTTTTGAAATGTTAAAAGCGCTGGTATGCTGAAATATATAACACGCGATATCAACGGCATTGTAAAACACCCGCATAACCTTGTGCGAAGTTTACGGGGCTCAGGAACTACCAATCAGAAGTGAGATAGTGTGTATATGGGCTAGGTTTGGGGAGTCTAACATCAGTTTTACCAACCCACTGCCTCCCTAAACAGCATGTCGTAAGAGTCCACTAATTAGGGTATTCTTTCGAAGCTGGAGTGCATCTGCTTTTTCTATGCCCACTGAGAGTTTGCTTTAAGGATTAAATGAAATTCAAATAGTGATAGACTGGGACATATCCATAAGAGTACATCGGATAAGAACACAAGAATATGGAAGAAAGTTTATGTTTACAACATAGACTCATACCACACCATACATAGACCACACAACATACACATAAACCACAACATACAAAAACCGCAACATACACAAACCACAACATACACAAACCACAACATACATAAACCACACCATACATGAACTAAACCATACATAAACCACACGATACATAAACCACACAATACATAAACCACACCATACATAAACTAAACCATACATAAACCATACGATACATAAACCACACGATACATAAACCACACCATACATAAACCACACCATACATAAACCACACCATACATAAACTAAACCATACATAAACCACACCATACATAAACCACATAATACATAAACCACACCATACATAAACCACATAATACATAAACCACACCATACATAAACCAAACGATACATAAACCACACCATACATAAACCACACGATACATAAACTAAACCATACATAAACCACACCATACATAAACCACATAATACATAAACCACACCATCCATAAACCACATAATACATAAACCACACGATACATAAACCACACGATACATAAACCACATAATACATAAACCACACGATACATAAACCACACCATACATAAACCACACCATACATAAACCACACCATACATAAACCACACCATACATAAACTAAACCATACATAAACCACACCATACATAAACCACATAATACATAAACCACACCATACATAAACTACACCATACATAAACCACATAATACATAAACCACACCATACATAAACTACACCATACATAAACCACATAATACATAAACCACACTATACATAAACCACACTATACATAAACCACACCATACATAAACCACACCATACATAAACTACACCATACATAAACCACATAATACATAAACCACACCATACATAAACCACACGATACATAAACCACACCATACATAAGCCACACCATACATAAACTAAACCATACATAAACCACACCATACATAAACCACACCATACATAAACCACACCATACATAAACCACACCATACATAAACTACACCATACATAAACCACACCATACATAAACCACATAATACATAATCCACACCATACATAAACTAAACCACACATATACCACACCATACATAAACCACACCATACATAAACCACACCATACATAAACCACACCATACATAAACCACACCATACATAAACTACACCATACATAAACTAAACCATACATAAACCACACCATACATAAACTAAACCATACATAAACCACACCATACATAAACCACACCATACATAAACCACACCATACATAAACTAAACCATACATAAACCACACCATACATAAACCACATAATACATAAACCACACCATACATAAACCAAATAATACATAAACCACACCATACATAAACCACATAATACATAAACCTCACCATACATTAACCATACCATACATAAATCACAACATACATAAACCACAACATACATAAACCACATAATACATAAACCACACCATACATAAACTACACCATACCTATACCACACCATACATAAACCACAACATACATAACCACACCATCCAAACTTTCAGACAAGTCCGCGAGAATGAACTGATGTGATTAAGGGGCCCGAAGGGGCGGGGAGGGGGAGCTTTGTAATGATTACGTTAATAGACAACAAACAATATTATGTTAACATTTACGACTGTATCTGAAAATCAATGAAGTAAAGTGAGGGGGCGCACGCAACAAAACAAAAACATCAACATCAACTAACGTTATCAGGACCAATAAAACAGTCAGGGGTAGATTGACCCTTTAACATCCGATTGTAGTCACGTGACATGTTAAACAAAAAAGGAGAGAATTGAGGCGACGGCGGGATAAGTTGATATATAACATGCCACGGTGGTGTGATGTTTCTCATCATAGGCGGGGGAGGGGAAAAGAGGAAGGGAAAGGGGTATAGGACCTTGGCATTTTCTATACAGATATCCTAACTGGCTGTTTAACCACATAACACGTTCATATTAGGACTCCCTAAGTTACGAGCTTTCAGTCTTAGTTGGGCATGAAGCAATATTAACAATTTTGTTTAAAACTGCAGTTCTGTAGGATTAACGTCTCGTGGACAACAATCAAAGAGGTATATACACAACGCTTAAAAAAACAACCCAAGGCTGATAAAAATCTGTTGATTCTGGTCTCCCCGTCTTTAAAAAAAAAAAAATCCTCCATTAGTTTACATCTTCCTATTAGCTCTTCCTATTTTGTGTTCAGTTTCCATACCCTCTTTGTTATTAAAACATGTTTCGAAGAATGTCAAAACTCAGTGAAACGTCATAACTTCACTTCTGTTGTACACAGGACTACATATGACTTTCTGACCGTTTTGCGATGTCCCAATATAACTGAACTATACGATTGAACTTTTAAAATGTAATATCATGAATGGGTCAAGTGGAAAGCAATTGATGTCACAATGGTGTCACAGGATTGAAAAAAAAAGTGAAATATCAAGTATGTGTACATAGTTTATTTTATTTAATACATGCAAGCGAACGTTGTTACCAAGCTCTTCCTTTCTGTTGTAGTAGCAGTAGTAGTATTTTTTACCCCACCAGGACATCATCTTCTTCTTCTTCTTCTTCTTCTTCTTCTTCTTCTTCTTCTTCTTCTTCCTTCTTCCCCCTTCTTCTTCTTCTTCTTTCTCACGCTTCTCTATTCTTCGCCTTCTTCTTTTTTCTTCTTCTTCTTCTTTTTCTTCATTCAGCTCTTTTCTTCTTCTTTTTGGCCTTCTTCTTCTTCTCCCTGTGGGTTCTCTCTTCTTCTTCTTCTTCTTGTCTTCTTGTTTCTTCAGTGTCTGCCTTTCTATCCCCCAATGGAGCATAGGCCCTCCATTAGTTATTCCTTATCCATGGTTGGTTGGTTTTCATGGCTATGGTTTTTACAGGATGAGGTAGCCAACCTCAAGCCCAACCCTACCCTTAGTCGCCTCTTACGACATGCCCGGTAGGGTGCAGTGTCACTATTCTTTGCTTCCGGTGAGGGCCCCGGTGACACACGGGCGACAAGGACATCACACAAGCGATAAACACTCGATGACACAAAGTGCCACCTTGTGGATGAGGATCGCCGTGGAGAGGTCCCAGAAACCGCGTTCAGACACTTGGCCATATTTATGGCCTGCCTATATTGCGGCCCCTGACAAAAGCCACTCAAATAAAAAAAAAATATCATCCTAAAAAGGTCGATAGATAATGTTGATTCCTTTCTGTTTTTCTTCTTTTGAATTCAACTGCCAACTATCCTTAACAAAAATGTTAACCAATAAAGAGCATTCAATGACAGAAAACAGATCAGGGTTTCCGGGATTTATACCTGTTTTATTCTCATCATTGGGGCGTTGATTCTACAGACTGCAACCGTTGAATCGCTGAGGGCGAAAGGGAGGGAGGAGAAGACTAAGAAACAGAGAGAATACAATCAACATTAAACAAAATTGTGCCAAAATAAAGGGAAATAACTATAAATATCTCTCGTATTCGCAAATCGCTTGTGATAGTGTTTAACAAACTTTTATTTTGTTTTAAATGTTTGTTTTGTGGCATCCTCGTCCCCACCGCCTCCTTGCAATTCTTGTGCACGTTGCATCTACATTCTTTCTTTCTTTTTAAGTTTTCCTCCAGAATCATATTCTGTAAGATTAGCATCTGAAGGATGAGAATGAATGGGTGAACCAACAATGATGTGATTATAACAATGATGTGATTATAACAAAAATCTCGTCCCTCTTGGAGGATGCAATTTTTCGCAAATTTGAAGCCCTACCCTGACTGTTGCGGGGGACGCAAAATAGCTTGATGATTGAATGCGGTTTTGGGACCTCTCCAGGGGTGATCCTCATCCGCATGGTGGCATTTGGTGTCACCGGGTGTCTATCGCTCTGTTCGATGTTCTGGAGGGGTAAAATTTACTTACCTACTAAGAAACAACTCTGACAAAGTAGCCGTCCCAATGTGGGAAGCATTTTTTTGTTGTTTTGAAGCCCCACCCTGGTTGTTTGCAGGGACCCTAATAGAACCTAACGATTAAACGGGGTTTCTGACACCTCTCCACAAGTGATCCTCATCCGAAAGGTGGCACTTTGTGTCACCGGGTGTTTATCGCCTGTGTGATGTCCTGGTGGGGTAGAGAGTCAGTCAGTCAGAAACAACACAACTACATCAGGGAAATTCCAATATTTGCGCCCTGTCCTGCTCTGTTCCACCAGGTATTCATTGCCGGCACCCTACCTCGGTCTAAGGTAACTATCATTCTATGCAAGGATGTTTTGCTGGACGACACTGTGAGCTATTCCTCACCAGACGCGAGTGCAAACATTTCTTATATTGACTTCTGCTTGCACCACCCGTCAGCGTCTGTGGCTTAGGCGTTGCGAACGAGCTTCGTAATGCCGGGCTGCTGGGTTCGATCCCAGCTGCGGGCCTTGCGCCCTGCGTTGGTTTCGACAGTGGTATCGAGAAGCCGACCGTAAAGAAAGCAATGGCAAACTACTTGACGTAAATTTGCCTAGAAAAACCACAACAGTTACAAATTGCTGAGGTCGAAAGACGACTTTTCAGTGGCGATGGCAAACTATTGAACTTAAACTTGGTGTTCTGGATCAAGTCACTGATAATAATTCTCCATGCCACTGTCTTAAGCCACCCACCATCACTTCTCTTGATTTGACTCTGCCCCTCCTACCCCTGTGAAGGATACACTACTACAAGTATTAGCAGGCGAGACGGAGAGCTCCAACTCCTGCCTGTAGGGATGAGTCAGTGAACAACCAAGACGCCTTGCCCCAGTCTTGGCAGGAAGTCGGTTAAAACGCAATGGCTAATTCTAGCGCTTTATTTGTCAAAACCCACTTTTTTTTTCAACAGCAGCATAAGGGGGAATAGATTACTATTGCTGTCACCGCAACCTGGCCTAATTTGTGTAACCACATACCTATAATAACCACATTCCTACAATTTGCTCTATTATTAGAACAGTATACCTAGATTTTAAAGGGATATAATTGGTGCTAATTTAGTAACTACTGCATACATAAAAGTAAGTAAAGTAAAGATCCCTTTTCACGCCATTGGGCGTACGGCGTATCAGGCATTTGGATAGAACGCCCATATTTTAACAGACCATCGGCACTAGGTGGGTAATGTGGTCATCATTACACTGGCCGTCTTTACTTCCCCAGGACATCCATCCTGGTACCCATTTTAGGCTAGGTCGACCTGCGACGCCCAATACCATGATAAAAATCCACGCAACCAGCAGTGGGTTTCGATCGCGGTATGTTGGAATTACGAGTCGGATTCGCAACGTCAAAGACATCACTGGGGTAGGGGCTTGCAGCCTTAGCTCCTCTTACAAATTGTCTAGAGGGTAAGGAGACTCATGGGACCAAAGCCCTAAGTGCCTGCTAGTCTTAAGCCATCCACCATCGTCCTTCTTGGTCTGCCTCTGCCTCTTCTACCGGTGATCTTTCCAGTCACCACGATATTTTCCTGTGCTCCTTTTCTGACATGATCTAAGAACTTTGTCTCCTTCTCATTGTTGTATACAATGTTTTACTTTCCTTTGCCATTTCCAGGCGATCAATGTTAGTTATTCTGGCAGTTCAATGTATTCGCAATATTCGTTTCAAGAAGCACATCTTAGTTGCTTTCAAACTGTTCCTAACCTGTTTGCTCACATTCTAAGATTCACTGCCACACAACTGAACAGGCTCGATGTAACATTTCATTATACAAGTATATAAACACAAAATGTACGAGTTTACTGTTATACATCGTTGGGGAGCCAGCTAAGCTCTCCTTCTACATTTTGTTTGCGGAAAGGGGAATGGGGGGGGGGACGTATTGGCGGAAGTCCCTAGGTTTCAGTGCCTCTGGGGTGAGGCTGATATCAAATCATTCCTTCACCACGTTGTACCACTTAAATACTTCACCTTCCTTCCCCCACACTCTACCGCTTTTTATTATTTTACTTCATATTCCCCCTCCACACTACACAACGTTATTATACTTTACATTCGTCCCTCACACCATACCACGTTATTATTATAGTTTACACCCCACCCCACTTCTCCATCCCTCCATACGTTATTTTTTTTACTTCAAACATTTAAAACCGGCTAATCAGCCATGTGCACGTTTGGACTGGCACGTGA